AACATATTAGTGACAAAGTCATGTTAAAAAAGGAACTATTTCCAGTCATTGAAGCACATTTCACCGCAGTTTATCCAAACCAGCTTTTAATAATATAATCATAAGCCTCATAATTACTATTATCCCTGATTCAAATCAAATGGAGACATTCTCCAACTAAACGATTGCAGGGCTGCAGTTAATTCAGTGAGATGAGATTTTGTGATGTGGCAGAACGAGAGCCTGTTCAGACAGAAGAGGATGTGACCCGGGTCATGCCCTGATTTTCACAGAGATAATGGATGCCCTGCTGCTGCAGTGTTTTCTCCACGCACTCAAGAAGAAGGTGAAGAAATCGGAGCTCCCCCTGCTGACCAGCACGTTCCTCCGCAACCACATGTTCCCCTGCTGGTAAAAGTTCAGCTCATGTCTTTAAGACGTTCTAAAGAGGAATTAAATTGAGCACTGAAAAAAAAAACATCTGGTGTTATTTCAGCCCGAGTGGAAAGCAGCTTGATATCAAGAAGTCCAGCTATAAAAAGGTATATTTGATGTCCAGCATGAGACCTTTTACAAAGAGAAATAGACTCATTTATAATGCCCATCTGCATTTATTCATTGTGTTTTGTTTTCCAAAAGCTGTCCAAGTTTCTACAGGCCATGCAGAAGCAGCACAACCTCGTGCGAGTGAAGGAACTGACCAAGGGTGTGGAGAGCATTGTGGAGGTGGACTGGAAAAACCGAGAGTGAGCCAAGCAACAACTCAACTTAAAGAAATTCTTCGGTCGAGATTCAAACTCGCATCCCACCCACATTCAGGCTGACTAGCCCTTTTGTCTTCCCCTTTTTTTTTCCCCTTCTCGTTCCGTTAAAACTTTACAGGCTGCGTTACTTCAATGTTCCCGAGGAGACGGGTGATGAAGCGTCCCCGGTGCAGAACGGGGGGGAGGCAGAGCCCCCGTACCATCCTCCCGAGATCACCACTCTGTACTCCGTGTCGTCTCGACTAGAGCCGCTCTTCCTGGATGCCAAGAAGAGGTGCGTTTGTTTTCGCTAACCCCCCTGACGCTTGATGCATGCACATGTTTGAAGGGTTCGGACGGCAGGGGGGACGTAACACGGAGAGTCGAAAGCTCATCTATGCGCACGCATCCAGCTGCTTCGTGTTTGCTTGAGCGCAGCACTGAATCCCCATCAACTCCAGGAGGGCTGTTCTGGAGCTGACCCTCCCTGCAGAGGGGGCAAGGCCACTCTCTTCATGACCAAGTCACAAATCTTAATCTCAAGCCGAGTTTACTGGAGTGGCTCAGATACAATACATGTAGCGGAAATGCCTCAGATGAAGCACATAATGCTGGAAGTATGCAAGTGTTTGGATCACTTGGCTAGTTTCCTATTATTTGCTTCTAATTTGACCAATTTACATTTTTAGAGTGTTTAGGTCCGCCCCCCCCCCCCCCCTCAAGTAGGAGACATCGTGTGTCCATTAGTTTTTAAATTAAACATATTTGCATATTCATAAATTCTGGATTTTCTAAATGAGGGAGAAAGAGTAGATGTAATTTAAGATTTTCTTTTTTAAGACGGTGAAAGTTTTATTCCACACTTAGTGTTTACCTAGAAGGGACCTTTTTAAATAGCTGTTTTGTGCCGGATGTATTTTCTTGTTTACAAACTGTATGTGTTTTATTTCTGTCCCTGTAGAATAATCGCTTTATTCATACAATAAATGTCAGCTGAAGATGTGCACATGTATTCTTTACTTACTGTGTGTGTGCTTTGATGCCCCTACAGGAAAGGAACAATCCTGCAGCCGGCTGAAGTGAGACATATTGTCACAGAGTACGTGAAGGATAATGAGCTGGTGGATGAAAACAATAAGAAGTAAGTAGATACTTAAAATACCAAGAAGTTATGATCTCAACATAATATCTCATTATCTCACTCTGTGAGCCGGTCTGCTGACGTTTTGACTAATCAGTTAGTCAATCGACAGAAAAATAATCACCAACTATTTAGATTTTTAATGAAATTACAGCAGAAAATCTAAAGATTTCTGGCTTAATTTCAATCAAAGCGTATTTTTTTAAGAGTGAACTTATTTGGGGTGAAATGTATATTACAAGGTCTCACGGCATGTTTTGGTTCAAAGTATTCCTGTTGAATTGTTCAGCAACTCGTGTTCAGATAATTTAGAAGACACTAGATGTGTGTGTCTGTGTCTGTAAAAGATGTACACATATATATATATATATCCAAGAAGTGGAATAACGTCACCCATTAGTTTGTGGACTGATGTTTTAAAGTCTCCACTTCTGCATTTTGGCCATCGCCATCTTGTTTTTTTGCAACCAGACGTGACACATTTTAGATGACCAAAAAGTTACAGTTAACTTTTATGAACTGAAAACACACTGAAAGGGTTAAAGTTCTAAACGTAAAGGTGTGCAGCCTGTTCTCATTACCAGCTCGTCAAATACTGACCGGCACCTCCCCGCAGGGTTGTACGGAGGTGTGAATACGGTTATGTGCACTTCAGAATGTAGCCGCCATGAAACCAGAGAATACGGTTTTATGTCTCTGATTCACTGCTTTGTTCAAATAGCGTCTCTCCCTCTTCATTCATTCACGCTCTGGCTCCCTCGACCACCTTTTCCAGGGAGCAGGGGCCAACTTTGAATGATGTGTGTTTACGAACAGCAAACGACGATGCTACAGGGTTTACCTTTAACTTGCTAGCTCGCTCACCCGCCATCACATGGGAGAAGTTTCTCTTTCTGCCAGAAATCTCCTCAGATTTAGGCAACAAGCCTACTTAGGTTTAGGTTTAGGTTTAGGTAAAGGTCATGGTTTGGGGTTAAAACCGACCCTTTCTGGCAGAAAGCCCTGAAGGCAAACTCCTGTATTTGACAAATGAATGTATTATCTCTGCTTCTGATGTGGGAAAAGGTTAGTCTGTACCGGCATATGAGATGGTAAAACTTCCTGAGTAGATAACTCTGTTTATTACATAACAGGGTGGTAGAAGGGCAACCTTAATGACCTCTGAACCTTTACAGAACTCACCCCGGACCATGTGATGTCGCTGTAATTGACCAGAATGCTTTAAATGTGACTCAACTAAACAGAAGAGACGTTTTGTGTTTCCTTTTAGGTCATAAATAAATCTTTGATGTGAAACAAATTGATAAAGACTGATGGGAGAAATTAAATGAAATCTTGCCATGCAGCTGGCAAAGCCTAACACGCCAGCATGTTTCCTGTTAAATGCCATGCTTCCACTAAAAGATGTGCTTTTTTTTCCTTTTTCCAATCAATGTTACCCTCGTCACAGTTACGTGACCATAAACCCGACGCTGTGCGACTGCTTACTGGAGAAGTCTGAGTACCAGGAGGTGGAGTCTCTGAAGTGGGATGACCTCTTTAGCAGGTAGACGCTTTGTTTTCTTTGTTTTTTTTAAGGACCATGTTCAGTATATGTGATGAGTTTCACCTCACTCACACTTATTTTATCTCCTTCGGCAGGCTGCAATGGGAGAACAATACAGTGCATATAGTATACTGTGGATTTTTATAGATTAACAATTAATTACGAAGAAGAGATAAATGACCAACATGTAACGACACTGTAGGGGGGGAGAGTGAGCTTCATCAGTGTTATTTAAGACTGTAACACAACCGGTTCATAACTCACTGTACTGACTTTGAGTACAATTATCTTTGTTCGGTTTTGAAGAAGAGAGACTTTAATTTGAAAATGTTTCGGATCACGTGGTAAATCTTCCATTGTCCGGATAATCGTGATTATCATCACGAGCTGTCAAGCTTGCTGTCACGGTAGAGAAGTGAAGGATGAAGCCTGATTAATAAAAATAAAGGATTTATCATGTGAGAAAGAACAGACTTACACGATGCTGCCTTTTGTCTTTTTATTCATTTATCTAGGCTATCCTTTACTTTTAGAGGAGTTATGATGATCTTATTTAAGAACGTTTGTTTTTCACACAAAAAAAGATGTTTCCTGTCTGTGAGAAAGAATATCTGTTTCTTATCCAAATGTAAGGATTTAAGCATATTTGGATGATTATCAGGATAATATCGTGAATCGCAATTATTTTGGTGCGATAACTACAAAATGAAATGTTCATGCCGTCCCGTGCCTGGTCATGGTTCTGGTTGGACAAAGACCTCCCTCTTCACCTTCACATTGTTGCTCTCTATGTGAAAGTGAATGAAGTATAATCTTATTTGTTTACATGGTGGTTTAGTGATGATATGCTCTATATTACTACTAAATGCAACAGTGTCCCCGTCAGTCTCCGTCTCTCTGGTGCAGGTTAAACGAATGCCGCCTCATTTTTTACAGGGCGCTGGCGAGAATGCAGGAGTGCTATGAAGTCGTGTTCCCCGGACATGCACCCGTAAGAAAGAAGGGCCACATCGAGCCCATAGACATCTCTGTGGCTTCTCGAGGCTCCAATAAGAAGGTGACAACTTTTACTACAATCTCTTAGATCACCAGCTGGAGAGCAGCAGGTGATTTCTTCAAAACTCTCTCCACCAATACGGATACATGAGAGTTTAACAAAGAGTCTACAGCCGTGCTAGCAGCTCGCTGAACGAGGGTGCTAACTTAAACATGCTAACGTGCTGATGTTTAGCAGATGTCATTTTTACCATATTTTGCTAAGTTTGTTAGCATGCTAACATTTGCTAATTAGCACTTAAGGGAGGGATTGACCTCTTGTCCGCCATTAATGTGCCTAAAAGATCCATCTATCTATCTGTACCTTGTGACTTATTGGTTGACGTAACAACTAAAGCCAATGTTGAGTTATTGTTCTGGCTCTGGCTCTAAGTGTTTCCATGTGCTGCCGGCAGGTGACTCTAATAAAGAACCTGGATGTGTACGGTCTGGATCCTGCAGCTGTGGCCACTGCTTTGCAGCACAGAGTCCAGGCCAGCTCCAACTTACAGCCCATACCCGGGTCCAAGGACAAAGTCCTGGTCCAGATCCAAGGCAATCAGATTCACCAAGCCGGCAATTTGCTGATAGGTTTGGAACTTAATAATACCTGAAGCATCTCAGAAATTGTTTATCTCAATTGCTTTACTTGTACAAATACATTCTAATATTTTATTTATGATTGCAGATCATTTTCAAATTCCTCGCAAGTACATCCAAGGACTAGACAAAGCTCCAAAAGGTGGAAAGAAGAAGTAACATTTCACCCGGTTTACTCTTCACTGTCTTTGAAGCTGCTGTATGTAAACACGACAACAAGCGACTGTCCACCACTCGTGTAATAAAGGTGATTTACTTCTCTTCTTCTGGAGACTGATGAAGGACGAACGCTTTGTTGTGTCGATCTGATTTGGCTCCTGAAGATATTAGATTAAGGTTTCTGATGTGATCATTTAAACCAGACCAGCATCAAACATTCAGTGAAACTGATCGAATGTGTATCCAGTTTAATGACGTGTCCAACGTTTTTCAAACGTTTCAAACAAGCCACTATTTTGTGCGGTGTAAACTTCAAGGCAGCAGTATTTCACGTCACCACACCAAAGGAATCTTCAGTGACTCAACTTTAACTGAGGCTGCGTGCAATTAGACAGCCTGAGTGATGTTGAGGTCAGGTGTCCAAGTGTTCCGTCTCCATATTTGTTTTCTAAGACTATTAAGTCTATTAAAAGATGGAATTTGGCAAAACAAGATTTAATTATCATCCTGTTATGTCACCCTCACTTCGTAAAATCCTGTTTTCCCCTCAGGCACTGAAGTCTAGATGAGAGAAGATCTCAGTAGATTAAGATGATACACTCATCTGAAGTGTCCGTCAGTTATTGATCAGGGGCCAACAACCGACAATGAAAAGAGAAGCCAATGGTGAAGTACCTTCAACTTGTATTCTCTCTAATGTCCACCAGGGGCGACTCCTCTGGTTGTATAGAAGTCTATGAGAAAATGACTCTACTTCTCTCTTGATTTATTACCTCAGTAAACATTGTAAACATGAGTTTATGGTCTCAATCTCTAGTTTCAAGTCTTCTTCAACACAGCATGACTGCTGATGGACAGGTCCTCTGTCACCTGTTGTCATCAAAAGAAATTGTCAAAAAGCACAAAACTTAAAAATGCATATACCAATCCATTTATTCTCAAACTATAACAAAGGTAGCCTACATCTCCCAAAATAAAACACCAACCACGGGCCTCCATGTGCACCACACCTGTGTCAAATGAGTCCAAACTAAACTTAAAGGGACTTCTGAGGAAACACACAGCGCTACTCATTGGTCAACATCTAAATGGCTCCCACGCAACCGGCCCCTCATTCAGACACACCGGCCCCTGTTTGGCTTCCAAGGGCATGACTTGGCACAACTGTGTTGTAAAATAGTTGGTTCAGGTTCACTGGAGTTTATGCTGTTGGTGTTTACTGGCTTGTGTGAAGCTTTTAGATGGCTCTGTTTTCCACAGAGGTTGAGACACCCAAAGCGAGCTCCTTTTTCCTTTTAAGAAGTTAATTCTGGATATTCATCCAGAGCGTGACCATGTTTTGGTCCATACATACATTCCCTTTTGATATGCATTCCTTCTTCTGGTTTGGATATCCCCAAAAACTGGATCAGACCACAGCTTGACTTGATATTCCACAAAGTGCACAACATCCCTGAAAGTGGGTTTGCATTGTTGTCTGTCACTAATAGGACATGCAATGCTTCTGAATCATTCCCTCAGTTTAAGAGGAATATAATGTTCTCTCATTTCCTGCAAATCAGACATTGCGTTGTTGCGTGCGCATATGAAGGAAATGAAGGAAATGTAATCCCATAGCAAGGAAGCATTTCCAGCATTTTCCAGAACGTTTCGTTGCCAATGCTCTTGTAGGAGGGTTTTGGCTGTTTGGAAGCCTCGTTCAGCGCTGGTGTGTAAACAGCTTTGCACAAGGTCTCGTGGACGCCCGCTGGTGTTTATTTACAGGTACTACATGCACTCTCCCCTTTATTTGTACTTGTCTCTTCAAAACAGTGTTTGAAGACTTGCATGAAAACTTTGAATTTTAAAGGGTCACCTTAAAAAGGTGGAAGTTGGCTTGATATTTCATTTTGCCTTTGTAGAATATGTAGTTTAGGAATCATCATCATGTGCAACTTTTTCAGCCGTCTTTTATTCTAGTGACAGTTAAGTTTCGATGGTATGGACTCCTTGATCTTTGCATCAGGAATGACGACCGTTTCTTTTTGTCCTTTGCTTCTCCAAAATGGGATCCCATTCCACGCCGGTTCTGCACCCGAGGCTTCAATCTTTGCATCAATTTCCATTTCGCTCCGTTTGTTTGCGTGATGATTCCGCCTCTTTCTCTCCAGCGCGTGTTTCTTATTCAGCCGATGCCGTGCGTGCCACGAGTGGCTCCCTTGGCTTCAGCTTGTGCATGTGACACTTCAAAGGGGGGGGGGGGGGGGGGG